AAGTTACCTCATCAACCGCTACCACGAATCAACCGCTACCACTCATGCCGCGAGTGGCGCGCTGCTTCCCGCAATGAACCTGAAGATTGAAGCTCATGGCATGACTGACTCAGCAAAAAGTAGTAAACAACACTTCCAAGCGTATTCCACGCGTGGTGGCAAAAAGCTCGTGGTTCGTGGTCACTCTTGAAGAAGAGCAGTGGTCCAAGGAAATCTCACACCAACTGGCCGGACCCAAAAAACAGCAAAGCGCACAGCGGAGAAGTTCCGAACCAAGTCACCACCAGTTTGAAGGAACTCAAGTAAAACCACCAACGACTGGTGTGAAGACATTGACTTGTCACTGAGACCGAAGCCTATCTTCTGCGGCGCTTCGAGCGCGACCGCGACCGCGACTTTCGTCGTCTCTTCTTCCTCGAGGAGGACGAGGACGACGAGGACGAGGAAGAGGAGGAAGAAGACGAACGACGGCGACGAGAGCCTCAGCACAAAGAACACCCATGGCCCAAATGGCACCCATCCGGGCCCTACAGAGAGAAAGTCTCTGGCAAAAGTTGTGGGATAGCATCGGGTAGCAGGGTTCAACATGATCGGTAGCGCTTTGGCAATCGTGCACCATGCGCTTTGGCCTCTCGCGTGCCTGAGGGTGTCCTTGGGCCGCGGGATGCCTCGTTGATCCTACATTGGCAAATTCCTGCGACCAAAAAAAGAACAGAAAACCAGCAGGAACGAGCGCGGTCCTTCACAGAGAACAACCGCAAAGAAGCGGAAAAAGACCATGCATGACAAGCAAAACAAAGAAAACATGGTGCCGCGTGCACCAAGTAGAGCCACTGATGGGCCAAGGAACGTGATTTCGCTTTCTTGCCACCTTTGTCCTTGGTTTCAAGGACTGGCATGTCTGTTCAGAGAACTGTTGGCTCAGCAGTATGGGCATTTTACAGCAAAACCTGAGGGCTAGGAAAAAAAATAGGTATACGAAATTATGTATGTACATGAACTGTTGAAAAATTGCCAGCGCCCAGCTTCTTTGCTATCCTTTTCCTTTCCCTTGTCCTTCTCTTTTTCCTTTGAATCCTTGGCATCTTTCTTCTCGACCTCGGAGTCTTTGGTGGAACTGGTCGAAGTTCCTCCCGGAGCTCCAGCACCCACCTGACCGAGCACCGAGCTCCCACAGACCGGACACGGTGGAACCACGGAACGGCCCTGCCCTGCCTTGAAGATGTGGGTCGCTTCGGGTTTGTTTTTCTTTTTGTCGAAGCCCATCTCAAACGTCACCATGTCGCCCACCGAGAGCTCTTTGGTGTTCGTCAAGGAGGCCGCCTGGAAGGTGACCTCTCCGTGCGCCTGTGACCGCAAAATGCCAAAGCCCCGAACAGTACTCCAATGGATCACAATCGCCATGCGATTGTCTTCCTTCTCCTCCTTCTCCTCCTTATCCTCCTTCTCCTCTTTCTCGTCCTTCCGAATCCATGCGCTGCAAGTCTGTATGAAACAAGCATACGAACATGCAGGTTGAGTCGGCTAGGCCAGAGTCCTATGCAACTGAAATGTGCTGTCATCGCCCACTTTAATTCAAAGGGGCTCTAGGAGTGTGAGAAAATCACTCTCTCACTCACTCTCACTCACTCTACACCAACAAAAAAACACCTCTGTATCACCTGCCCCCCCGGACCATCCCGGGGCCACCGTTCATCACCGTTCTTCCGCTTCGCTTCGCTTCGCTTCGCTCGCTCCTGCTCCGGCGGCGCGGGCACCGGCTCCGTGGGCGCCGGAGGCTGCGGCTCCGGCGGCGGCGCGGCGTCCTTCCGCTCGAGGGACATGGTGATCTCTTCCGCCGCGGCGGTGGCCGCCTCCCGACGGTTCCGGGGAGTCCGGCGCGTCCGGGTCGAATTCAGGCCCGGAGCGGGCGGAGTGGTGCCAAGAACCGGGTGGCGTGCAGCGCCCACAAGTCGGCCTGCCCAAGGGTAAATATATTAAATATGGCATCCTGCCAAGCCTGATTACTTCATTCGTGCCCAGAGTTTTGACGGTTTAGGGCATGCCCTGCTCCAACGTGAGGGAGGCCGTGCACCCACATCTCTTCCCCCCCAAAACCGTGGGCGAACGGGTTGGCCGGCCGCCTTCATTCGCTTGGCCTTCTGCTCTTCAGCACCACCCTGGAGCGCCCGAAGCTGCTTGAGCGTCTCCAGCATGCGCGGATCCATGCGCTCGGTGTTGGGCGGAGGGCCCGGCCACGGACCGAGCTTCTCCGGATCCTTCTCCTTGGCTCCCCAGGCTCTTGGGGGTCACCTTCCACAGTGTGTGTATGTGCGTTTTTTGCTTCAAATCCCTATATAAAAAATACATATTGTAATATTTTGTGTGTATATATCTATATATATATATACTAAGACTACTTATTCTATCTTACTGTTGCTTAGTTAATTATTGTTGCTACCACATGCTACCACTAAATATGTTTGCCCAAGACCGTTTGCCTCATGTGCTGCGGCCCAGGCTCCTTGGATTCCTTAGGACCCTTGGGACTCTGTGGCAAAGGTGGTGGATCCTCAGAGCTTTCCGAGTCGTCCGCCTGTGGGGGCGCAGGAGCTTCGGTGCCTGGCGCAGGGGGTTCTTCTTTCTCTTTGTCCTGGCAGAAGGCATCGCACGGCACGTTCGTTGAGTGGCTCAGTCGGTGTGAGGAGACCGTCGTCCGAAAGCTTCTTTCGCGCCTTAGGAGGCTCTTCGCTATGATCCTCTTTCTCCTCATCATCACTACTTTCTGGCGAAGGACGTCTTTCTGGCGAAGGATGGTCCACATCCTGTCAGGATAGAACGCCCCAAAGCAATGCTTGTGAGAAAATACTTAAAGTGTACCAATGAAATGACCTCAGTTCACATCATGAACGCATCAAATTCGGATCCTGAAGCTGACCCAACAAACAGCCCCTGCTCTGCAGCAGCATCAACACAACCACGACGGTGCTAGAAAACCTAGATGAGATTTTCAAGAGCAGTCTGATTGAAGATGTGCCATCCGCCTCGTCAGCGTCTACTGCAGGCTTGGCCTCACCAATCTGTAGTCAGGGATGCCACTTCTCTTGCGCATATGCTTGCATGTGTGCAAGGGCGTTCCTACCTTCCGTGTCAGAAATGCCAAGAAAATGCCAAAGGATTGTTTTTCCAACATGTTAGTGGCACAATTCACCTGCGCATGAGGTTTGGATTCAACTGTTGAACTGCGCTTTGCCCGGCAAGGTCCTGCACCGCTTCACTCTGGGCAATCAACAAGCGCTTTTGAAGCTCCTCACGCCATGTCAGACCCAAGCAATGGGACTTCTTACAGGTTCTACTGCACCCAAGTGAAGCCCACAACCCAAATGAAGCACGAACCAAAAATGACAAAGGCCACAAGCTGATCAGGCTCGTCGTTAGGCTCGTCTCAGGCCTCCGGATTGAAGGCTTCCACCGCAGGAGTGGTCTCTTTGGGTTCTTCCTTCTTCTCAGGCTCTGGCGGCTTCTTCTTCTCCTGTCTCTCGCGGGCGCTGCTCTCGGCGTCGGCCGTGCGACGCTGCGAAGGAGACGCGCTCTCGAAGACGGCGGGTGCCGTCCGAAACAAGCGGGAGGATGAACGGGATCGCCCCATGTCGGACGTGGCGGTGCGTCGGTCCGAGCGGGTTGGTCCTTGGCGGCCTTCGCCATGCTGGCCATGCTGGCCATTCCGGCCATGAGTCCCATCATAGGATTCATCATCGGCATCATTGGGGAAGGCATCATTGGCATCATGGGCATCATCATGCCGCCACATGGACATCCACAACATCCGCCGCAGCATCCTGGACACCCACAGCATCCACATGGCATGCAGCCGCAGCCCATGCCATTCGCCATGGCATTTCCTTCGGAGGCACCCATGCTGCCTCCAGGAGGGGTGCCCGTGGACCCGCTTTGTCCATCCATACCTCCAGAGCCTTGCATTTCAAGCAGGTCAGAATCGGGAAGCTCGTCCTGCACTCAAGCGGCAGACTCTCAGACCAATCCACCAAGCTTCAAATCTTGCAGCATCACAACACCCCTATGGCCTTAGGGTCTAACAACATCTACCCAAAAAAATGACCTCTCAATGTTCAGAAGAACCTTTGAAACTGAACACCGTAAGCAGACCGAGACGGGGCTGGCGCCCGTCTCGGTCTCTTTCTCGTCAAGTGGCCGACTTCCGGGTTCATGGACGCCACCGGCTCCCGGTGCCGACTCCCAGCCTTGGGATGACAGAAGTAAGCCCATGGAAGAAGTATGGACATGTAGAAATAGAAAAATATAAATAAATAAACATATATATATATATAGTTTTAAATTTAGTTCGTTAGTTAGTTATTTACATATTATATAGATGTGGTACCTATATATATATATACTATATTACATAACCAAAAACATATTAACTATACACATTTCTCAATATAACTCACAACATTATTTCACCATAATGTTCGTATAGAACAGCCGCGAAGCTGCTGACAGTTTCGCCAAGGGGGACCACACAACAAGAAAGGCGTGTCTCTTTGTTTCACTCGCTGAAAGAAAGTTGCTTGCCTTCACCTGTGTTGGGGCTCGATGCTGGTGCAATTTTAGATTCAATAGGTAAATAAACTGTGCCAAGCTCAATGCACAGAGCTTGCCAGTCGACACAGCACTGACCTCGTTCGGAACGCTTGCGACGCTTCGAGAGCTCAGACCGCGACGCTTCGACACGGGCCCCGAGCCTTGAGGCCACTTGAGGCTCCGACCGCTCGACTCTTCCGCCCCGCTCCGCGTGGCCCCTGTTCTTTTGAGCCCCAGCGGAAAGCACGGTCAACGGACGCACACGGAGAATGAACAGGACGCAAAACCAGGAAGTCGACCAGTGCTGAGCATGCCACCAAACGTAGACTCTCTGAGTCTCAGAGCCGGCCACGAAACCAACCTTCCCCCCACCAAGGCAGCGCGGTTGCCAGGACCCCCAAGCAGGTCTTTTTCTTGAAAGAAACGTGAGTTGCGGTCCGTAAGCCATCTGACCCCATTCGGGGGATGGCACAGCCGGTTTTCAGGGTGTGAACAAGTTTGTGTAGCTTGCCAGGGTGGACAAGTTGTGGCCGAGCTCGGCCACGATCAAAGATAAAGCCCTGGCAATGCCTCCACTTTGCTCCACATTCTGCGGAGATGCCGTGTCAACCATGTAATAGCAAAACGACGCAAAAAAATGACTTGCCGAATGAGCCTGCAGCAATTTCACGAGGCGGTCTTGAAGGCTAGAAGTGGGCTGCTCACTATCAAGAAGTGCTTTGCAACGGTTTTGTAGTTCAGACTCGCTCGGTTGATGTGTGTTGCACGGCCCCTTCGATCAAGGCCACAGGCTGCCTCACTGGCACAAATCGTTTTGAGTTCAAGTGCCAATTCCTCTAGCAAACTTCGTCTGACCGTCCTTGTTGTCTGTGCATACAAACATACGACACACGTTGTAGGAGGCAGGTCGTGTGACAACGGTTTTGAGGTCTCTCTTCCCTATTCAGCCAATGGCCTAGTTTAGCCGTCACCCTAACAGTCATCAGAAACACTAGGATCGCTAGGATCCAGAAGCAACTGACAACAAATGATGCTGAAGCTTTGGAACCCTTGAGGCCTTGATCCCACATGTGGCCCACAGCGCTTGTTACCCGGCCTTTTTAAAGGTCCCAAGGCCCTTTGTCACGACCTGCAGTGACGGGTCAGACGAGATCGTGGAGGTCGAAATGTGCCAACGGGATGACAACGAAATTCCTCTTGGAAGAAACCCAAACAAATGTCCAGCGTACACCCTTGCAACAACCGCCTACAGGCAACAGTACATCCTATAGCATAGTGAAAGACAGAGAAGCACCATGTATATAAGTGTTTCTCTTCACCTGGTCACCTGGTCCTGGAGAAAAAAGATGCACAAGACCTGCTTAGGTGACCTTCTCGGGACTGGACCTTCACGGCCTTCACTCGACTCTGAGTTCAAGCTCTCTTGCTTGATCCTGGCCGTGGCACAACTCAACACTGACCTGACCTGACCTGCATCAAAACAGAAAGAAGCTACTTGGCCAAGCAAGGATTGGCCCAATGGATCTCGTGGCCGGGCCAGCACATCCTGAATGATCTGCAAAGCAAACTCCTTGTTTTTCCTCCGCTGAGTCTGCAGCCCTTGGGCTTCCACAGCGGAAGCACGCGGCACGCCGTGCAAAGTTCTGGGTGCCACATGTGCAAAACCAGTCACCGGGCCGGGCAGATGAGCACGTTCCAGTCGGACGTGGCTGTTGGCATTTGAAGCACTGGCTGCGCCTGGTGGCAACAAGTGCCACCATGCTGACAGAAAAATACAAGCAGGGAATATTTTTTGGCAGGGCCTCACCCTTCCTAACACCTTCCATAATCGGAAACTGCAGCCAGCAAAGCTACTAAAGACTACTATATATGTTTCTTAAAGTAAAGCAAAAGCATCAAAAAATGAAACCATGGATGATATTGTTTCGTCTCCTTTTTTGCGACAACGCCGCCCGGCCACCCAGTCACCTCAGTCAGAGACCTTCTTTCTGTCGGAGCCGTGCCTTTCAAAGTTGGAAGAAGTGCAGTGGCCGCAGATCCAGCCCGCAGAGCTGGCGCAGTTTCTGGAGTCGTGCCCAAATTGTCCACAGAGGTAGCAGTTGCACGCTGTGCAAAAGGACTGGGTATGCCCCGAAGCTTCGCAAATGAAGCATGGTCTCCTGAAAGTGTGACCATCGTGTTGAGAGCAGTGATGGTCTTTTGATGTCTTTTTGGCAAGGCGTGGGGAAATGCCTGTATAAGCCTACACAAGCATCCAATAACAGAATATATAGGGGGAAAAAAACACGCGTCAATCACTGCACACAAAGAATCTGATTCACTGCCTCCATCTGCTCTTCGATCTCGCTGAGTTCTTGGAGAAGACTCTCCACCTGTGTCTCAGCGATCCTCTCCTTCTGTGTGCACGGACGAGCGGGAACGAGCCGCTGTCCTGAGCACGTGAGCACGCAACAACTCACGCTCCTTCAGGCCCTTCCGAACTGAAGGGGAAACCATCCCAAAAACGGTCGTTCGCCCATTCTGGAGATACGAACGATGTTCAAAACGGAACCACACTGAAAACAAACTGGAGCTACTCACGCGCCAAGGTTCTCATGCATTCTGGATGAGTCCATTGTGAGTGGGAGATCTGCTGGCCGCAACATTGATACCAGCTTCGGTCACAATTTCCGTAAGCAGAGTCGTATTCCTCTTCTAGTCCTGGATGGTACCAACCCTCAGCCAACAACCCTCGCCGCCGTGCAGCCAACTCTAAGAAGTGGTGGTCGTTCTCATTGGTTTCCTGAGATGTGGGGGTGCCTGGGCCGGCCTGGGTGGCGACCAAACCAAGCAAAGATCAGGCAAACATGTCAAATCGGTCCTGAAGCCTCCATCCACAGGATACTCTTGCAACAAACAGCCTTGAAACTCCAACAACTTTGCTCTCAAGTCTCACTCTCATGTGCTGCACGTTCTTTCCACCGTTCATCCCACGTTTGACTTCGCGTCTTCAAAAACGCATGTGCTGCACCAAACTTCTGAATGAACTGGTGAACGATCTCAGGCATCTTGCAAACACCTCAGCTGGACCCATTTGGGCGAGACTGCACCAAAGGGATATGCAATCCATTCTCCCCATTCACCCGTGAGTTGGGCGACTTGGCTTGAAAACAAATGCGCCACTTCATGTATATAATGTTAGATTTGTAATTGGCAGGGGGCCAGGGGGTGCATAATTTAATAGTCAAACCCAATTGTTCAAAAAATTCCAGATCAAATTTGATTTAGTGTTCCACCAAAAAGGACCCATAATTGGCTCAAATCCCCAGTGAGGATCCATAATTATCAAGCTGACTCGCCAAAAAGAAATAGTCTACCACTACCACTACCACGACGACGACGATGATGACGACTACTAATATTAAAAAAATACAATGAAAAATGGCGAGGGGGGGGGCATGTAAATACGAATCTAACATTACTGTTCCTCTGTGCAACATGGACCAAAAAAATGTCCTGGTCTCCATAGGTGTTTGTCAGCAAATCGTCACAGTAAGCACTGTAAGCTTAAGATTCACCCATGAACATAACCCTTGCCCAGAACGTCCCTGTGCCAGCTTAAGGGCTGCATTCCCCATTTCCATGCTTCTCAGCATTGCTGCAGACCACTGGCAGCACCCTCAGCCCATTGCGCAAATAGTATCTGTCCATGGAACAGGTGGCGTGCTATGTCTTGAGCCCTTGAGTCTGGAAATGCATTGCAGTGCCGATGATGTTTGCAAACATGTGAAGCGGAATTGAAGGAGATCGTATCAACAAACAAGGTGCATGTGTATGAGTATGTCTCTCTCTCTCTCTCTCTGGCGGGCATATGAGTATGTGTATGTGTATCAGTGTACGTTACGTATGCATCTCTCTCTCTCTCTCTCTGTCAGTGGGTGTACTCGACTCAACCGATTAGCCTACCAACCCGCAAGATTCAGCTATATAGGCAAGGCTTTCTTGCTAGCCACCAGAAGTATGAAAGCAGCCCACGCGTGTAGACGGTCAGATCAAGCCCTTCGACCCCCGGCGTTTCGACCCCGTTTTGCGACCCTGCAGGAATGGCACCTTGATTTTTTGGACATCCGCCTCCTTCTTCGCAGCATCCTGCAGAAAAAGCTGCCATCATCATGGTCAGCCGATGGCCCCAACCCGAGTTTCGGAGCAGTTGAATGCCGAAAAATAACTTTGCAATGCGCAAAACCACTTGACCATAGTGCAGTGGCTCAAGTGGCTCACGCGTTCGCATGAGCTCTTCTCCTTGGAAAGAAACGGGACCTACCCCCACCGCGCGGCGCCAAGGTAAAGACATGTAAAAACACTCCAGCTCGTCCGGCACGTGACCGGCTCCGCGGCTGGTCTTCGAAAGACGGCCAGCGAGACGGCTCCGCGCTCGCTCCTCGTCGCTGGGCTTGGCGTCTTCGACCCACAAGTCTTTCCACATCGCCAGGTTGGAAGCCATTTGTGTAGAGGCCTCACCCAACAACGCACCGGCTGGTACCGTCAGGTGCCGGCTGTGCCGAGTGCAGCCCCACGATGGTCGGCGGTGCTGCCGCTGGTGCGGGTGCTAGATGCTACGAAGGGAAGGCACCGAACCGCTGTGGCGGGGCCCGGGCTCGGGCGAAAGCATTCCTTGATGAGATGCTGAATATGTTTCAGGAGCTGGGCGAGGTACATGGCATCTGCATCTGATCGAAGGAAGTGTAAAACAATCACATGCTGCGACCCCCGCTCGAAGTGGTGACATCGATGGAACCCCCTTGAGCGTTTTCCCAGCGGCGACCAGAGCTGGAGGGCTTGCCCAGCCCAAACGACCCAGGCCAACTCTCTCCCACTCCACTCCGTGGGCTCCGGGCAGGGTGCAGGTCCGGGAAAATCCTCACCTTAGGCCCGTGGTGCGACCGCTGAGATCAACAAGATGCTGGCAATGAGTGGCTCCCCCCCAAGCACAATGGAAAAAAGACCCCGAGTACCATACCCAGTGTGCTGTACCAAATCCGACCTGCTTGGGTTCCAAAACAAATTCCTCATAAAGCCCCGACTCTCAAGCCCTTCGTCGCCGTCACGACTCTCCAGGCATCACCTGTCCGAATTCCTCAGAACCCGGGGACGGCCGGACACCTCTCTGCACCGCGCGCGCAGCGAACGCGGGTCCTGCGCAGAGAGGACCGATCCGTTCCGGGGCCCCCGGGCCGTGCTGAAGACCAACGGCGCCACCAAGAACTGGATGAAGCCATGTTGCGAACCAGGCCTCGCTGGCTCCGGCCTTTCTATTCTCCCAAGGTCTAGTCTAGTGACATCCAAGAACTGGTGACAACCCTGGAGCTCATGACAGAAGCATATGGGTTCGAAGCTTTCAGCTTTTTCAAGAGGGCAACACTTGAAGTTGCGAAGAGTTCAAAACAGCTTGACGCAGCCCGAGCTGTTTAGTGCCGACACTTGTCGCCGGTGCCCTCGTGACGTGCTACATCAGCAGGGCCCGCACCGATTGATCTTGTCTCTGTCGTTTAGCATTCCCACAGGGAGGCTTAGCGACTTCTCCTGCGAATTCTTCGTGTGTCGGCCGAAAACATTGCAGCAGACCGGTTGATCGCAGCTTCAGGTAGACACGGGTCGCAGGTGTAAGTCGGGCCTTGAAGCTCTGAAGTCCGAAGCTAAAGAACAAAAGTACCGACTGAGCTGGTATGCCTCCATTTCGTATAAGCGCGCAGCGGTATAGCTAGAAAAGCTGTGACCAAGAGCGGGATCAAGACACACTGTCCTCATCACCCTGCTCGAAGAACTCATCCAACACTCGCCATGCCCACTTCTTGCAAACCTCGGGGAATCTATAGAGTGTCCAAATCAACGTTTAGCATTCTTTGCATTTCCAATGGCTTTAGAGATAATACTGAGCTTGCCACGTGCTCGCTCTCTCTGTCTGTGTTGGTCCAATGGTGCCCAACCACCATCCCCGACCACCATGACTACACTGCCCCCATCCCTCCTTCTGTTACTGCTACTGCTACACCACGACGGCCAAATGTTACATACTTGGTACTATTATTAAATATACATATATGTATATATGTACGTAAATATGTATACATACATATATATATATATACCTATAGATATATATATATATAGTACCCCCCCAAAAAAAAACAACACTTTCAGACAAATAGGGGAGGTGGGGGGTACCAACAAATCTGAATCTGCAATGTGCATATGGTGTCTGATCAAAATGCTAAATGAACATCCTCCTACATCTAATCAAATATATATTTAATATAAGCTATATACTGGTGATATAAATTTTTGTTTTTTGAGCCTGCCAGCATTTTTGCAAGGTGGGGTAGACCAAAAATTGAAAAAAACACTGGCAGGCTCAAAAAAATCAAAAATTTCAAAAGACCATAGTCACAAAACCCTGGCAGGCTTTAAAAAAATTACACCACCGTAGACCCCAAACAGTTTGTGTTTTTCAAAATCGAAACTAGAGCTTGCGACGTCCAGAGCTGGGAGACAAAGGATTCCAAGGCAGAGGCGGCCACAGCAGCCCAGAGCTGGGAGACGAACGTAAAGGATTGCAAGGCAGAGACGGACACAGCAGTACAGAGCGGGCGGACACATCTTAAGAAAGAATTGAGAAACCCTAACAGCAAACCTTTTGGGGAATTATTCTTCAAGTGCGAACATGATGCTGGTCATGCTGCTCAATCAGCAAGGAGCTGACCACGTGAGAACAAGAAATAGAAGCATGAGGAGGGAAGGATGTGACATGAAATTGATTTTTGGCGCCTGACGCATGCCCTCCGTCCCAACTGAACAGAGAGGACATCAGCCTGGGAGACACATGAATAGAAATGCTGCATGACCAACGGACAAGGGCGGACACCAGCAGTGACAGACCTGGGAAATGAATCGAAATGCTGCATGGCCAGCGGAAAAGAGAGGACACTGGCAGTGACAGACCTGGGAGACAAATGAATAGAAATGCTACATGGCCAACGGAAAAGGGCGGACACCAGCAGTGACAGACCTGGGAGACAAATCAATAGAAACAGCAGAACAGGGCGGACACCACCAGTGGACAAATGAATAGAAATGCTGCGTGGCCAGCGGAAAAGGGCGGACACCACCATTGACAGACCTGGGAGACAAATGAATAGAATGCTGCATTGCCTGCAGAAAAGGGCGGACACCAGGCCAACGGAAGAGGGCGGACACCACCAATGACAGACCTGGGAGACAAATGAATAGAAATGCTACATGGCCAGCGGAAAAGGGCGGACACCAGCAGTAACAGACCTGGGAGACAAACGAATAGAAATGCTACGTGGCCAGCGGAAAAGGGCGGACACCAGCAGTGACAGATTTTTGGGAGACAAATGAATAGAAATGCTACATGGCCAGTGGAAATGGGCGGACACCAGCAGTGACACAAAGGGCGGACACATCTTAAGTGGGAGACAAATGAAAGGACATGGGAGACAAGCCGGCCGGGAACCCGACCACAAGCACCGAGGCTGGGAGACAATGAAAGGAAGTGGGAGACAAGCCAGCCGGGAACCCGACCACAAGCACCCAGGCTGGGAGACAAATGAGAAGGGAGACAAATGAAAGGAAGTGGGAGACAAGCCGGCCGGGAACCCGACCACAAGCACCCAACCTGGGAGACAATGAAAAGAAGTGGGAGACAAATGAAAAGAAGTGGGAGACAAATGAAA